ATGATGTGATTGTGATGCTGTATTTCTGAGTTTTATGTGCTGCAGAACAGGAACCTGCTGTAAAACAGCAATTATGCTGAGTCAGGCTTGATTTTTAATAATCTTTTCCTGTTAAATAAATAAATCAAATCAAATCAAAATAATCTGACTCTTTCCATGGTTGTGTCTGCACTGCTGCATTCTTTTAGGCAGTTTTTGTGCCAGTACAGTTCATCATTTACTCATCTGTACAGAAGGGCTTCATGGGTCTCAGGGGGAAAAATAAAAGTCCAGCTAATTGTTTGATTTAAAAACCCCACAGCTGGGTGGTCCCTGAAGCTGTCAGTCAGCATCAGCAGACCCATCTTTTCAGGAGCCAGCGAGTAACATGTCTGCCACTACCTTGTTCTGAGGTTGCTTTTTTTAGAGGTCCCTCTGATCAACTCTCCTCCTTTGTTTGTCTCCTAAATGAGCTGAAGTGGTCAGAACACACATCAGAAACATTATGGGGGGTCTTCTGAAAGAGCCTCAAATGTTTAGGTCCAAGTTTTCATAGCAGCCTTGTGGAAATTTGGCACTTCACCTCACGTGACTCATACCGTCATCATTTTTATGCCCTCATCCTATTTTGATACTGCAGTAAAACAAAATACCATCAAACACAAGCTCAGTAGAAACCTCTGATGTGGTAACAATGTAGTACATTGTTAACTAATGAGCAGTCTCAATCTCTTATAGTTCAACAGTTCTGTAAAACAGTGTTTAAAACCATGTTGGAAACTACTTCCAGTACTAAGCTTTCCTGTCAGTAATGGTGATGCTGGTTTTTAACATGTCAGGATGTGAGTGAGCGGAGGGTAATGTGTGGATGAATGGCTTCCAGTGTCTGTCATGTTTCTCATGGCTTCACCCATCAACAAGGTTTTTTAGTTTAGGGGTGTCCAGTCCTGGTCCTGGTCCTGTAGGACCACTATCATGCAGGTTTTAGTTAATGGGTGTCCAGTCCTGGTCCTGTAGGACCATTATCCTATCCAGTTTTAGATGTTTCTCCTGTCCAACACGCCTGGTTTTAATGAACGGAAGATTAACAAGCTTCTGTAGAACTTGAGGTAATTGTGTCACTGAATTAGGGTGCAGAGAAACAAGTAAAACATGCAGGTGGCCCTTCAAAACCAGGACTGGACACGATGTCAACAGGCACTCTTTCATGTTTTGTCTCTAATAGATTAGGTCAGTCCACTGGACTCTTCCAGGGTTTGATGATCACAGCTGGTTCAGATGGACGAGATGACAGGAGAGAAACTGTGGCTTTATCACAATTGATACCACATTATTCAGTGATAATATTGCATATATCACAAGTTTTCTTTGTGCAGCCTTTACACACAGTTACAGAAACAAAAACAGTGCAGCCAACACTTTTTACAGTCTTTTGTGTTTGAAGACCATTCTCAAAGTCGAACAGCCGGGTACTTTTTCATGTGACCATGTTGTAGACGGAGTCTGACATATTGGTTTGGGGGAAAATAGGATGAGTTCCTTTATGTGGAAAATAGGAAATATGGTGAAACGTTGCTGTAGGACTGCATTTCTCACGTAAAAAAAACATCCAGAGGTAAAATATCAATTTTTTTCTAACCGCAAGACTGCGGGGAGAGAACTACAGTGGTTTGCAAAAGTATTCATACCCCTTGAACTTTTCCATATTTTGTCACATTACAACCACAAACATAAATATATTTCACTGGAATTTAATG